ATATTAAAATTCTAAACAATACAAGTTGAAATACGGGGATCAAAGGTCAAGTAACCTACGTAGGCAAAATTATATAGTTTGGGAATATAAGTGAATTTGTACTACTAAAACGTTTTTCAAAGCGGTCAAATAAGCTAAAATGACTTTCATAATCATCTTATTTTCAATATGCAAATATCTTTTCTGTACACAACAGCCACCTCTCTAGACATTCTGTTTCTGCTGACCCCGTTGACCTGAAATCGGTGTTGAAAAGTTCAAATTTTCTATATATTTCAATGATCTCGCCATTCTTCTTCTAGTTTAATATTACAAAGTATTGTGTCTTGGGTTAGGTGTTAATGATTTAAACAACTTGCAGTTTCTGTAGTAAATTTTTAGGAACGATTGGAACATATGATCATATTTTGTTTTGTAGTTATAGTACACAAACAAGTTTTAAAAAATATGTATTAGTAGAGGATGGGACTGTCGGCCAGATCTGATCTTATTTTGTAGTTACAGAGGATAAACAACGTTTCTAAAAAAAATGTATTAGTAGAAGATGGAACTGTCGGCCAGATCTGATCTTATTTTGTAGTTACAGTGGATAAACAACGTTTCTAAAAAAATGTATTAGTAGAGGATGGAATTGTCAGCCAGATCTGATCTTATTTTGTAGTTACAGTGGATAAACAACGTATATAAAATTTTAAATAATTGTTTATTGTAAAAACTTATAAAATCAAATAGCACACATTGAAACTCTCTTTTTTTTTAGTGACATTTATATTTTCAAGTAAACTGTTCCAAAGTATTTTTTGGTTGTATGCACGTAATATGTGCCTTTATTTTCGAAACTTAAGTGATATTTTTCAAAAATAACAATTCTATCACATTTATTATTAAGATATCAATAATTAAAGATCTGTAGTGTCTTAATGGACAGTGGATAGAATGTTTGTAATTTGGTTTTAAAAAAACTAAATTAATTAGAAGAACTTTATTCAGTACTTTTCACCAAACAAGTTTATCTAAATGAATAAATTCACTGTTGGCGAAATTTAAACCTGGAGTTTATTTTTTATTTTTCTTCTGTCAAAAAGTTTGTTTTCAACATTTGTTATTATTTACAGCACTTCTTTTACGTCATCTCGTGAAAGGAACTTTTTTCACAAGCGGATTATCAAATGGTATGATTTTAACAACAGACAGTGACGAAGAGCTGACAGTAAGATTCAAACCAGGTACGTAACACAAATATCAAGCAAATACATTTATGAAATTGTAGCAACTGAACGTAAAGCAGCTGAACTGAAATTTTTTTAAAGTGTCGACCAAATTTCAGATATCCCGAATTCTACGCTACCCTATCTATTCGAAAATGTATTTCAACCGGCCATTTTTATTTTATTTTATTTTAGTTTTTTGGCCCCAGGCTTTGGAACCACTGATATAAAGGAATCGTGAAAATAATTGTATGGGAGATAAAATGAATGTCGTTTGGACAAAACACTGACCACAATTTTTCTTATACAGCTATTTCATCTTTTTTATGCTTGCCAATATCATACAACGCGGTACCTGTATTTGTAAAAGTAGTTTAGCCAAGTCGTAACCTGTATTTATTTTTAACCATTTGTCAGTTATTTTAATCATTTTTATATTTTAAGACTTTAGCAAACAGTATTTTCAAAATAGAAAACTTGTTCCTTTTAACCTTCCATTTGAAATAAATAAATGTTGCATATTAAAATATTGTTAGACATAGCACAATTTAAAATAAGTAATTGTTGCGTATTAAACTATTGTTGGACATAGCACAATTTAAAATAGGTAATTGTTGCGTATTAAACTATTGTTGGACGTATCATATTTTAAATAAAGTAAATGTTGCGTATTAAACTATTGTTGGACGTAGCATATTTTACAATAAGTAAATGTTGCGTATTAAACTATTGTTGGACGTAATACAATTTAAAATAAATAAATGTTGCATATTAAACTATTGTTAGACACAGTACAATTTAAAATAAGTAATTGTTGCGTATTAAACTATTGTTGGACGTAGCATATTTTACAATAAGTAAATCTTGCGTATTAAACTATTGTTGGACGTAACACAATGATTGTTGGCAAAGAAACAAGTGTACGTTTCAGTAACGAACTTCTGTACATAGCATTTGGTGTGGTATTGACCTCAGGTGGTAAATGGTACTAGCAAAGTGATATTATGGTAAACTTAACCTTATTGTAGCCGAGTGCCATCTTTAAGTTGTCCTGAATATAACTTATTTATATATATATATTAAAACTGCAGGTTAACAATTTTAATTCTAAGAAAACAATCAGGTAAATTAAGCGACACTTATGCATAAGTAAAGTATTAAAAATGTTAAAATCGAATACACAACGTCAAATAGTTGTACATAAAAATTGTTTTATTTTTTATTACAAATTACAGGTTTTAAAATAAAGAAACTTAATTTAAATACTAAAACTTTCTTTACCATCAAAACTTGTCAAATGATCGCACCAGTGATCGAAATGTCGTACCTGTTCTAAAAACAAACCTTCCTTACCGTGAAAGCTGTAATAAAAATATACTTAATAAATAAGTAAACTCAAAACGAAACTATTAATAAATAGCTTTATTAAAAACAGACGCAGCCCCAAAAGACTTTACATTTCGATAGTATTCTACATCACCATCATCAGAAGTAACAGTTAAAGTCAAATACTGACTTGTATAGCTACTTCATCTCCAACTTATATAATCTTACATTACTCCGTCAGCGCCATCTCGACCATGGGCACAATACCTCCAACCCTCCCCAAAGAGCTTACAAAACAAATTTCCAGAATTTCATTTCTTCCACACTTAGACAGATTAAAGGTTTCTCTCTGTGGTCTCCTCTGTTATACGAGTTATTTATGTTTAAATTTAAAATGTATGCATTAAATTCTTCTGGTTTTGAACCTTTTGTGCGGTTAAGATATGTGGACGACACGATTTCGGTGTGGTTAGAATGGCAATGACAAAATAATGCAATTTGAAGGAAATCATAATTTGGTTAGTCCCACTTCTCAGTTTACCTTGGAGGTGTAAAAAGGATATCAATGAAATTTTCAGGATATGTCAGTAAAACGAGATAATGGCTTTCTCTCGAAGTCAGTTTGTAGAAAACCGTTTTCGGTGGTCGTTTCACCACACAACAGATCGTGTCTCCCCCTAGCCACAAAAATTACTTGTTTTTTCCACGTTTGTATTTGGAGCAATAAAAAATCTGTACTTACGGTTGTGACTTATGGTCGGAGTTAATTTTCTTGAAACATGTAGCTGAGGACAAAGGCTTGATGCCGAAATTATTGATAAACTGTGTAAGGAGCATAACAGTAAATTTGCAATGTCACTGTGAACAACAACTGTGTTAAACAAAATGATAATGTTAATAACATGAGTTCAAAGTATGTCAACAAGAGTAGGTAACAATATATAGATTGTAATGTAACTTTATCTCACGGGTTTGAAATAAAACAAATTGATAAACGTGGCGATTACGAAATTCCTTGTGTCTGTGGTCGAACTTATATTGGCCAAACGTGTAGAAACCCGTAATTCAAAATTAAGGAACATAAAAATGTAAACAAATTGATAAACGTGGCGATTACGAAATTCCTTGTGTCTGTGGTCGAACTTATATTGGCCAAACGTGTAGAAACCCGTAATTCAAAATTAAGGAACATAAAAATGTAGTAGACAAAATATAAAGTTAATCGGCTTTAGCAGAACATGTGACAAGCATGTCACTCGTTAGAGACTGGACAAATTTCAAATTAACGAATCACGTTGAATTTAAGTAGGAACTAAATATTAGAAATCGGTAAAAATTGAGAAAAACAAAAATATTATTTTGAATAAAGATGGCGGTTTAGCTGGGAAAGAAACGAAATATTGACAAATCTGTTTTGTTAGCTCTTTGTGAATGGTTGTGTTCGAAATTGAGATGGCGCTGAGGATGTATTGTAAGATTATATAAATTAAAGGTTATATAGATAGACAAGTCAGTTACCTGACTTACTCCTGATTATGGTGGCATAATAAGCCACCGAAACATGTTGAGACTTTTAAATCTGTGCCCAGTTTTTGTTAAAGCTTATTCATTGTGCAACTATTTAACGTTGTACCTTCATTTTTAAATATTTTAAGAATTAGGTAATTCCAGAATCGACAATTTTGTTTTAAAAACAACGATTTAGACTTTCTTGCTTCTTACAGCGCCATCTATCATTATTTCAAGATACCTCTCTAAGTTGTTTCGATATGTAATCAACACTTTGTTTGTCTGTTCTTGCTGTTAATCACAAAGCTACACAACAGGCTATCTGCGATCTGCCCAAGGCGGGTATTAAAACACGATTTTTAGCGTTTTCGACATTTTGACCATGGACGTGTATGTGTATTTAGCTTTTCCACAAGAAAGTAGTGAACCCACAAAAATAATGAAAACTCAACAAATCTTGAATAATAAGTGAGTTAAACAGGAAAAAATATTTTTAGTATTGTCTTTTACCAATTCGTATTATTCGGATACAAACATCTAGCTCAAAATTGCTCGAACGTGATCTTACATTGATTTATATTTGCTATTCGTTGTTTTAGAAAATAACTCAATTGTGTATTTTTACTCTAGTCTTACACTGCTAAATTAGGGACGGCTAGCGCAGATACCTTTCGTGTAGCTTTGTGTGAAATTCAAACTAAACATAACGTTTTGACATTCCATACACTTCAACGCTGCTAATCTATCTGGCGTTTATACTTACTAATCTCCTCCTAGTAACGCATGTTGGATAGGCCATGTCACAACTTTAAGGGATGTCTAGATACATTTTCAGGGCAGTGTATGATTCTTGTATGTATTTTTATTTATTACTTTCTTGCTATTTGTTTGAACTATACGTTCACTCGTCATTTTCATGACAATCGTGGTTTTGATTATTCTGTTATTGTCTATCCAAACCAAACAAGATTTTGGTGAGAAAAGGTTATGTGTTGAGTATACTTTGTTGTCATACTAATAACAATATCAAAACTGTATTTGAAGTTTGGGAACATGTATTACTTAATGTTTTTGTTGTGGTTTTTTCCAGATTGCATCGCTGTAGATGGAATTGACATCGTGTATTCTGACGTCACCGCGACAAATGGTGTAATTCACGTTATTGACCATTTCTTATAATTTTTCCACATCTTGCTG